CGTATATGTACACTTATACGCGTATACAGGGTGTCCCAGGTTCACACAAGAGTTGAGAAATGTATTGTTGTTAACGGTGGAGTTTTGGAAAATTTATTACGATCTGTAAAAAATGCATCGCCCGAACAATAAATATTAGAAATAGCACGTAGTATTTCTTTCTTGTCAGTAATTTTGCAACTGTGCATTCAAGTAGCTCTATCTCGGAAACAGTGGGGAATGGGACGTATATTCATGTGAACGTTTTTGTTCAAAACGACCGACACTACCACCTCCCGGAATATTGACCTCTCCTCCTGGAACACCCTGTATATCGTTACGTTTAAATACGCTGCTATAAACTTGAAAAGCATCAAATGGCACGCCTTCGCTCGTCGTCCACTTCGTTTCAAAGAAATTCCCGTTCGTGTCATTACACGCGCAATAAAAGGAACGCGTTAAAGCCACTGTTACTCACCTCGTAGGATCTGATAAAGGAAGACCTTGATGTGGTCCGGGCTGAGATGTTGTGGGCTCACGATGATTTTGTGCAAGTCGCTCTGGAGCAGCTCGGTGATCACGTATCTGTTGGGTGGCTCGTTAAGGAATTTATCGATTATGATCGCACGTATTATCGCCAAGTCGTGTCGCACGCTGCACACCAGCGGCCAGCAATTAACAGGTGATTCTCCTTTCCGTATCGTTACGTCGCGCCCGTGGGACGGGTCGACTAATTTCGCACGCAACGACTTCATTTAGTACCCCCTTAATAACCCTGCAATTTCTCTTTTGACGCGCCGAGCGTAAACCTCTCGATAACGTCGCGAGTGCATAGGCCCCGAACTTCGACGGGGGTTGCAATTTAGACGCCCGAATGTCCGCGCGAAATAAAACGAAGGTGTTCGTTGACACTTAATTATGCCGACACTAATTTTCATATTCGAGATAAAATATGAAACTGTGTGTCTGCGATGTTTTCGGAATATTAATTGGAACATTAATTAATATATTAAAGTAAATTTAGCCGTGTTGTTGTCATTTTATCCCGCGGTTAATAATTACCTTATCGATGTTTATCATGAATATCACGGATAATATTGATCTTATTATTATTATTATTATTATTGCGCACACACGCCACACAGCTGTACGCTTCATTACCGAATGATTTTTATATTTCCCCACCGCCCGAATAATATTTCATTGTCCGCTTAATTGTCGCGAGGTAAAATAATAATGATCGGCCGGCCTTCTGAAAAGGGAGAATTTTTATCGAAACAACAGCCACCGAGCGAACAATCCGTCACCGAGTTATACCGATCCATCAACGTCCGAGGTAAAACTGCAATCGCGCTGTAACGCGGTGTAAAGTAACACGCGTGCGATCGCTTCATCGTGAAATATCCGTGTCACGTGTGCGGTCGAGAGAGTTAATATTTTCGCAGCGCTTGATTTATGGCGTATACGAATGCATTTGGCGAATGACCGAGCACCCGATCGCCCGGGATAACGTAATAGATAATGAATATCGATATACGGCTCTCGATGGTATCTACTTGCCCGCCGCTGACAGTGATCGAATCGGCCGTAATGAATACGATTGTCGATGTCATAATGCCGGGAGAGACAGGGAGACAGGGAGAGAGGGAGAGGGTCCATTATGGCTGATCGCTACCGCTAGAGAGACTTGAGATAGCGTCGGAAAAATTTATGTCGAGGCCAATAAAAAAAGGCGCCAAAAGTCAATAATCGAGTAACTCGGCGCTTCTTCGTTGGCCTCATCTTTACGTCGTTAATCACGGCGGAAGGTTCCTTTCCCTCTTAAGAACGTCCAACTAAGGAACTTGGGATTGTCGTAAAAAAATCGAATTCTTTTGATCTGTACGTGACCTCGTGACTGACCATTACTTTTTCTTCCCGACGTAAAATATGAACGATCGTACAGAGAGTCACGCTGGGTCCCACGCAACTCGTCGTGGCTCAGACAGCCGTGAAAATATCGAAGGCTCGATCTCGAATCGGGAGCGCAATGTCAGGGACGGGGGCGCGACGTCGTCTGACATAATTCGGTCCCGAAAACTCGCTCTCGCGCGAGCAAGCGCGCGAGAGACGATGGCCGAGGGAACGCGAGATAACAGAGAACGAGAGAGAGAGAGACCGAACGAAATAGTATAATGGCGGAATGAGGTCGACCGGGTAGATTGGAATGCAGGTAGAGGCTGCCCTGGCGCGAACCTGACGCGGTATGCAAGTCGGGAGGGGGAGAGGGAGAGAGAAAGAGGAAAAGAGAGAGAGATTGCGAGAGCTCAAACTGGCTTCGGAACAGAACCTAGAGAACCTCGGGATTTAAGATTGTAACTTTTGCGACTTTGCAGCGTTTCGTAGGCACGCGCGATAAAATTATTCCCGCGTTTCTTATATTCCGCCGCGTCGAGTTATCCATTGTCTAAAAGTATTGTTTCGAGAGGCCGTGCTCTTGCACCGCGCGCAGCCAGGCCGAAGCTCCGTTCGATCAATCGCGATCAAAGACCGAAGAGAACGGCCCCCTTTGAATTATCAGGAGCTCGACGTTTCGATTTCGCGATGCGAAATGGGGTAGGGCACTGTGCAGTCCATAGTGTTCGTGACGCATAATTACCGTTTGATAATTAAAGCGTTGAGAGGGATACGCGGGATATTGTACCGCAACTAAGGCATACAGCGATAACAAATACAAAAAGAGCTATTTGTTTCGCCACAGTAACGTCGATAGCTTTCGAATTGCGAGCAATCGAAATAATTTTTATATCGCACTTTGGTTTTCTATAAAATATATATCTTGTAAATAGTTAAAGAAAAGAATGCAGAGAGAGCGAGAGTTTGAAATTTTATGAGGCAAGCTTCGCGACAGAAAATAAGAAGTTGTACCTTCCGCGTCGTTGAAGCGAATTTTATAATTTTTATATTATATAATATTTTTTTCCTAGTCCGATGTGAAGTGTCTTATTAAAGTAGCGCTGTTCGTCATATACGCACGGAAAATCCATCTAATATGCAATCTAATTTATGCCGGGGATATTTTATTTAAAGAGACGGGAGAAATTCTATGCTCCGTACGTTATCTGTCAAACATAAAAAATTTACAATATATTGCTCACTAGAGCAACTTTATCTGAAGTAACGTAAGATTCCGCATCTCTTGCCGTATAAAAAGAAATCCGTGTAGCAAAAAGCGATTTATCTCGAGTGCCCCATTTTGAATTGAACTTTGCGTTTACAGGAATACGATATCTCCTCGCTACGTCGTAACGTCTCTATTGCTGTTTCAGGGCATGATTGATAGCCTTCCGCTAGTGCATGCCTTCCGACGCAAACAACCGCGAGATCTCGCCAGGAAAATCATGCCACGGACGCTGAGGGGGGTAAATTTTCGACTCCGTGCTTTCTTTCAATTCTGATCCGAACAGTAACTCGTTAAAAAGTAAAAGGAAAACTGAATATTCCCTCCCTGTTCTAATTGGCGCAGAAGTATTCGACAAATCTAAATTGAAATTCTCAGTTCAGCGTCAGAGTTTGGTAAAAAGCAAAATAGTGGTGAAAAGAACTTTCCTATATCATTTGCGCGATCTTTCCTCACGACCGGGGGGTAATTAAATCGCCACGGGCATCGTAGTGTACAGATTTGCAGCATTACTGGGCATTACTAGATATTACTAGGCATTTTTGGGGCATCAGGCCTTGCTGGGGCATTATGAAGATATAATAAGATGAAACAAGATAAAGATTAAATAAGATAATGAGTTAAAGCAATGCCCACCGGGCATTAGTAGGCATTGGTGCACATGATTTTGGTCAGCAGTTTACCCCTCGTCCACGACCCTTTTTCTTCAGCAGAAGTCATAAAAATCTTCTCTACTATCGATAAGAAGAAGGAATGATTGTCCTTTTTGTGATCCACCATAAAAGCGAGAACGTGAGAGACAATAGCCGAGGACTTTGCGCGCCGGATACATTTCTCGAACTCCAGAGATCGAATTAGAAGCATCGACGTGGAGAGTGTTTCTCCCAGAACGGAGGCATTCGAGGCGCCAATTTCTTCGGAATCCGATAGCGACGTCTAGACATTTTCGTGGAGAGAAAGAACAAGATCGACTCCTCTATCGAAAACCTGATAATGAAGAATCCGCCGTTAAAAAAAATCAGTATTGCGATAAAAGCGGGCGCGTGCAAATGTCCCACGTGAGGATACATGGAAGTACAACGGTATGCGCCAACGTTGGAAAATACAAAGAAAAAGAAACAAAACCGAGTTGGATTGGCACCTCACATTTCGGGGACACTTTCCCCGGAAAGCTCTCGGGTCGTTGTCGGCGTTGTGCAGCATGCTTAAAGCACCGCCGCACGATTGGCGGATCGATGCGTACCTGCCTGCCTGGCTGCTTGCCTGCCTGCCTCCTGGTAGGCACGTCGACCGGTTCCTGGACAAAGCGAGAGTTGCCCCTAGCATCATCTCTCTGCCGGCTCTCTGCTCCGCGCCGCGCCGCGCCGAGCGAGCGGAGTATCCTGCCGTTTTCTACCGTCTTCCCTTCCCCTTCGTACCTTTCCTATCTCTCCTCCCTCCCCCTTCGTTCCCCCTCATCGCTCTCTCATCCGGTACCGGTCCAAGGAAGAAGAATCTGGAGGACTCTGGATATGCTGGGAGTCCCATATCTCTCGCGAATGGGCCACGAGACTCGTGGGGAGACGACGAGGAGGGCGAAAAGATACGCGTCTCTACTGTGATGTATTTTTTTTTAACGACAAATCCCTCCGGATATAAAAGTGGAATCGTAGTTTTGGCGTAAACCACGGCGGAGGTTGCGTCATTCATCGGAACTTCGCGCGCTTTCGACCCATCTTCGTGTCCGGACCGCAAATTAAAATTCGGACAGATGTTGAATGGAAGCTGGTCGCACATCTCTAGAGTTTCCGAAACCCTCGGGGATGAATATCACCGACACCCCTTTAGATTCTTTGTCGGCCAGACTGGATGACAAAGAAGTGGCCAACGAAAAGGATGAGGATGAAGCTGAAGACGATGATGAAGACTTGGACTCCGAGGTGTTCGAGCAAGGCCGATCCGGCTCGTCCGACCGGTCAACCGAGTTCGAACTCGACTCGCGCGAACGACTTCGGAACATCCAGAGAGAAAGAGAGAGAGAGAGAGCGAGGGAGAGGGAGAGAGCTCTCGGCGATACCGTTTCCTCGCGCTGCTCGAAAAAGGCGCAAACTTATGTTGCATCGATTTGAAAGAGAGTTTACGTCATCCGAACAGAAACTCGAGTTCGAGTTCGGTTTTGCTTTCGCGCGACTTTGTCGAAAAGGACACGTATTTGCTTCAAATAATATATACCGTAGTCCCTAAATAATTACTACTTAATTTGAAGTTATTTAAAATGAGGCTTTTTAATGTAACAACCGACAAAACTCAATCCGTGTCCATTATTATTATAATTAAGGTGTAAATACTTAACTGCGTCGATTTAAAACGCATTCGTTAGATAATAAATATCTCAAATTATTTTAAAAGCAAATTTCGCGATGGGCTACACTGTAAAAAATTACAT